GTCCCCGCCGTAGCGCTGGCGCACCTTGAAGGAGATCGCACTCTCCACTGCCAACCAGCAACCACCGCGCACGGGGCGCCACCACCCGAGCTCGCCCTGCACCCACTCCGCCCCCGTCTCGGCGTTCACGCCCTTGCACGCGGAGCACCGCGTCTCGCGGGTGGCGGACGCGGCCAGCCCGAGAGCTTGTAGGCCCAGGCGTGGGCAGGCAGCCTAAAAACACATTGAGCCACACAACAGCTACGGCTGACGAAACTTCTGCGGGGGCCGCCGCAGACCGAGGGGGGTGAAGGCGCGCCGAGGGCTCCTTGGCCGTGGAGCCCCCATCAGGCCCCCTTTTGCAAAACGTGTCTCGTTCGTGCACCCTTTCGTTCGTGACCCCGCGCGCCCCCCGCTGCCCCGTCGCCCCGCGCTGAATTAATTAGTTGCGCGATGCTGGGCGGCCGCTTCAGCCGGCCCATGCGCGCTGTAGCGAGACTTAAACATGCTGGCACCAACGGCACACGCCCTCAGCGTCGCGCCCGCAGCCCTCGCGCGCACGCGGCGGGCAGGGGTCGGGCCGCAAATTGCTACCGCGCGCGCGCAATGCGGCGGGCAGAGGTCGGAGCGAGCGATCGAGGGCAGCGCCGACGTGCGCCGCCAGCTTCGCCGCCTGGCGGCGGGAGATAGGGGGCCGCGGGGCGTGGCGTTCGAAGGGCGGAGGGGGGCGGGGAGGGGAGCGCATGGGGGGCGAGCGAGGGCAGGATCGGTGGAGGGAGGGGGCGCGGCAGGGAATACATTGCATGTGAATTGGTGCGCCTTGCAAAATTCAGAACGTTACGCCTGCCCGCAATGGTTGTCGGCACCGAGGCGCGTCGCCAGGCGGCGGCGGGGGGAGACGGACGACGAACGAGGCAAGCAGGAGGAACGAGAGGACAGGCGGAGGAGGACAGGGGCAGGCGCAGGAGGGAGGCAGCGGCAGGCGGATGGGGGGCAGGGGTAGGCGGTGGACGGATGGGGGACAGAGGCAGGCGGTGGACGCAGAGGCAAGGCAGGCGGAAGGGGACAGGGGCAGGCGAGGGACACGGGCAAGGCGGATGGGGCGCCGACGGGATTCCTTGGCCGAGGAGCCCCTGGCCAAGGACGATGACGACGATCGGCGACGACGGGATCGAGGGTGCCGCCTCGCCCAGGCGGCAGAAAGCATGTTGGATGCGGTTTCGACTTTTCTGCGACTCATGCTGGGCCGATGTTAGGAGTGGCTTGCGTGTTTTAGGATGGTTCCTCAAAGCCGATGTTGAAATTAGGGGCATCGGTTTAGAGAAGATTATCCCAGAGCGACCCTACCTAGGAGTTGGAGCCCCGAGGAAGGCAATCTTAGTAGTAACGGTAAACGAAGTCCTCCGCCTTCTCCTCATCGTCGCACTTGTAGCAGTAGCGGTAGTAGCAGTAGTAGTAGTAGTAGTAGTAGTAGTAGCAGTAGTAGCAGTAGCAGTAGTAGTAGTAGTAGTAGTAGTAGCAGTAGTAGTAGTAGTAGTAGTAGTCGTAGTAGTAGTAGTAGTAGTAGTAGTAGTAGTAGTAGTAATAGTCGTAGTAGTAGTGGTAGTAGTAGTAGTAGTCGTAGTCGTAGTCGTAGTCGTAGTAGTAGTAGTAGTAGTAGTAGTAGTAGTAGTAGTAGTAGTAGTGGTAGTAGAAGTAGTAGTAGTAGTAGTAGTAGTAGTAGTACTAGTAGTAGTAGTAGTAGTAGTAGTAGTAGTAATAGTAGTAGTAGTAGTCGTCGTCGTAGTCGTAGTCGTAGTCAATGTAGTAGTAGTAGTAGTAGTAGTAGTAGTAGTAGTAGTAGCAGTTAGTAGCAGTAGTACCAGCACAGCTTAATACCTACATCTACATCTAGACATACAGCCACCTCTACACCTACAGCTACATCTACATGTACACATGCATCTACATATACATCTACATCTACACCTACACTCACATCTACATCTACATCTACACCTACATGTACATCTACCATACATCCACATCTACACCTACACATCCATTTATATATACATCTACACGTTCGCAGTGCTGTTGATGTTGCTTTGCATTGCCTTTGCTATTGCCTTTGCCTTTGCTGTTGCCTTTGCCGTTGCTTTTGCCTTTGCCTTTGCTTTTGCTTTTGCTGTTGCTGTTGTTTGGTGTTGGTGTTGCTTTGCCTTCGCACACACAGACACACGCATGTTTCTGCATTCGCTCACTGGGTGTGCTTGCCATCGAGGCTAGCTCGGCACCTGTCGCACATTGCTGTTGCTTTGCCTGTCCTTTGCTTTGCTTTTGTGTTTGCTGTGCGTTGCTTTGCGTTGCTTGTGCTTTGCGTTGCTGGTACTGCTGTTACATTGCCTTTGCTTCGATGCTATGCTGTGATATGCTATGCTATACTGCGCTACGCTATACTATGCTATGCTGCGCTATGCTGCGCTATGCTATGATATGCGATGCTAGGGTATGCTATGCTGCGCTATGCTATGCTATGATAAGCTATGTTATGACATGTTATGCTGCGCTATGCTATGCTATGCCATGCTATGATGCGCTATGCTATGCTGCTATGCTGTGCTGCGCTGTGCTATGCTATGTTAGGAAATGATATGATATGTTGCGCTATGTTATGCTATGATATGCCATGCTGCGCTATGCTATGCTATGCTATGCTGCGTTATGCTATCATATGCTATGCTATGCTGCGATGTGGTATGATATGTTACGATGTGCTGCGCTACGCTATGCTATGTTGTGCTATGCTATGCTGCGCTATGCGATGCTGCGCTATGCTATGCTATGCTATGCTATGCTATGCTGTACTATGCTATGCTATGCTATGCTATACTAATGCTAATGCTGCGCTGCGCTAAGCTGAGCTAAGTTAAGCTAGGCTAAGATGAGATAAGCAACGCTAAGCTAAGGGGACGTAACTGGGGGAACCGCGGGGCGGATACTGGGGGAACCGCCCGGGGCGCGTTCCACTGCCCGGCCCCTTTAAGCCCAGAGAGTAAGAACCCTCTAGGCAGAGCCTAGGTAGGGAATAATCCTGAGTTGAGATGAAGCTAAGCTAAGATGAAATAAGCTAAGCTAAGATGAGATAAGCAACGCTAAGCTAAGGGGACGTGCCGGTGTGCACTGCCCGGCCCCTTTTAAGAAAAATAATAAGAACCCTCTAGGCAGAGCCTAGGTAGGGAAACATATGTGGACAAACAATCCTATCTGTTTAGATCCGAAAGCTGGAAATGTCTATTTAGATCGTAGAGGTCGAACTAGATCGGAGAAGTCTATTCCGATAGCCTATCTAAATAAAGCGGAAAATATTCTCATGGTCAGAGGCCACTACAAGAGCATCGCGGAAACTAGCACCAGAGCAGACCCACTCTGTCTCGGGCATGTTTCGACCGGGATCGATCTATGATGGCCCTGGGGCCCAAGACCGGGCGAACGCACCTGGTGTTAGGTCGGGCATGTCCTCGCAGAGGCGGATGTTGAACGAAATATCAATGAACAAACATTAATCAAAATCAGACATAATAAAAAAACGCCCCCATACGATGTTTGACTATTACTGAAGATTTCTCCTGTAGAGGGACAGGCCCGCCATGAATCTGATGCACAAAAACTGCAGCGCCCAGATCTCAGGGTATATCAACTCCCCGCGAGCAAAAAAAAAACACGATCATGCAACAGAAGACTTCCTCCTCTCTCCTCCCCCTCCTCCTACTCCTTCAATCCTCCTCCTCCTTCAATCCTCCTCATCCTCTTCCTCTTCCCCCTCCTCCTCCTCCTCCTCCTCCGCCTCCTCCTCCCTGGTTCGCGCGGCCTTCCTGGATCCTGACGCGGCCTTCCTGCTGCAACACAAGACTTCCTCCTTCCTCCTCCCCCTCCTCCTTCCGCTTCCCCCTCCCCCTCCTCCTCCTCCTCCTCCTCCACCTCCTATTCCTATTCCTCCTCCTCCTCCTCCTCCTCCTCCTCCTCCCTCTTCCAATCCTCCTCCTCCTCCTCCTCCTCCTCCTCCTCCTCCTCCTCCTCTTCCTCCTCCTCCTCCTCCTCCTCATCCTCCTCCTCCTCTTCCAATCCTCCCTCTCCTCTTCCTCCTCCTCCTCCTCCGAAGGGCGGGCCGAGCGTTTCGCCTGGGGCTTCCTTACCATGTATGAGCCTGGGACTTTCAAACTGACACCAGGTTCACTGATGGAGGGCCGGTCGCTTTCAAAATGTGGCTCTCGCCTTAGCGCCGCGCGCAATCGATACAAAAAAAGCAAGAGCTTCACGGAGTGAAGCCTGTTCCTTTTCAGAAATGTGGATCTCGTCTTAGCGCCGCGCACATGCGATGCAAACAGTCGCAAGAGTTTCCTTGATTCTCATGGCTCACGTATCACGAATGGTGTTGTGGAACGATTAAGGATTGTCAGGGATGATGTCCCAGGGATGATATTCTGGCACGACTCAAGACCATCAAGACGCAACAATCAGAGTGACTCGAGGCGTTGAAATCCCGAGAATGGTGTTTAGTACACTTCAGGATTTTCACGCGGTTATCCCCCAACGGGCACTTCCCTCAGTGGAAATCAACCCTTGTAGGGCCAATGAAGAGGGAGCTTGGAGGGGGGATGTATTCCAACATCGTTGCTTCGTCTTAGGTTGTCACTGATCCTCCTCCTCCTCCTCCTTATCCTCCTCCGCCCCCTCCTCCTCCTCATCCTTCAATCGGGTGCTCCTTTAGCCGGGTCCCCCTCCTCCACATTCTCCTCTGCCTCCGCCTCCTCATCCTCATCCCTCATTCGGGTGCTCCTTCAATCGAGTCCCCGTCCTCCTCCTCCTCCCCCGCCTCCTCCTCCTCCTCCTCCTCCTCCTCCTTCCCCCTCCTCCTCCTCCTCCTCCTCCTCCTCCTCCTCCTCCTCGTTCCCCTCCTCCTCCTCCTCCTCCTCCTCCTCGTTCCCCTCCTCCGATGCCCAATGCCCCTGGAGCCCACGCCCCTTTCGCCCGCGCGACTCCCAAGCATTCATGAAGATCTCCGTGTTGAGGATGTGCTCCTGCGGGGCCACCTCCTCCTGCTCTTCGGCCCTCCCTCCCCAGACACCCCCGAGGTCGTGCTTTTGTTCGCCGTGTCGACCCCCAGAGGTCTGAACCCCATCCCCGGGGCCCGTGGTCTCATCCCCGAGTCGCTTCTCGACGGCCCCGAGGGCCAGGAAGGGCTGCCCCCAGGAGGCCGAACACAGCGGAACCCCTCCGCCGCGGCCCTCCTGCCTCCCCAGGGGGGGGGGGTCTCTCTGGAGCTCTGCAGGCCGCCGGGAGCCCCCTCCCCCCAGAGGCTCATACAGCCGGGGCGCTGAGAAAGGAACCCTTTGCGATGGGGAGGGGCTCGGTGTTCTTTCCTAGTTTCCCAATTGGCCTTCGGTTGCCCTCGGTTTTTGATGGGGCACCGATGTTCAACTTCTGGAAAAGAGGGGCCCCGTCCCTTATTTAGGGCCCCTTAGCTCAATGCCCCAAGTGTACCCGAGGCCTCCGGAAGTTCCCGGGGGCATGTGGAGGCCGGAGGAGAGCCGTTTCATATCTGTTGTCTGGCGAATTGTACACCCATGCCCTGCACAGGGCCGAGCAGCCGACAGGCATGCTCGCGTGGTTCGCTCGCTCGCTCCGACGCATCAGGCCCAAAATGCGGTCATGGATGGGCCGAATTCCTGTGTGCTTTTTGGCTTGCCTTGCGGAGGACCAGACCGTATGCAGTCGTGAAGCCCCCCCACCGGAGGCTTCCTTCCCCCGAGGCCTCGTTGGAGGCTCCCGGAGGCAGCACGCGGAGGCCCCGAGGAGGGCCTCCCCGGCAGAAGGTGGTGCCTCCGACGCAGCAGGCCCAGGAGGCGCGTGTTCCTTAATCGGCAGCTCGACACTGGGCGGAACGGGGGGGGAGGAGGGGCAGGGCTGAACCTAAACGGTGTTGTTCGTTTTCGTTTCGTTCTCGTTTTCCCTCGCTTCTGTCTCGAATCCGCCTTTACCGCAAAACGAAATCGGAACGAAAACGGCCTACGAAATCACCAAAAACACCGTTCGGGTCCAGCCCTGAGGAGGGGGGGGGGGTCTGGCTCGGCATTGGGCGGAACGGGGGGAGGGATCGGGGATCTTCTGACCCGGGTCAATCCAGACCCGGTCAGCAGGAAACCAAAAAACTGCAATGCAGGAACAAAAACCGCAACGAAGGTCTTCACAAACCTGGGTCAGCCAGTAGGCGCGGCCGCCTCGCGGCCACGAGCGGCTCGCTAACCCGGGTCAGCCAGAGGGGGTCTCCGCAGGATCCTGCAGGATCTGGCGCCCTGGCTGACCCCCGTCTGCATTGACCCCCGTCCCTTGGCTCCCGGAGAGGAGGGGGGGGGTATGGCTCCGGAACTCTGCTTCATGCGACTGCTTGCAGCAGTGCGTCCTGTGGGGGAGGGGCTCCACGCGCTCGGAACAGGCGCCCAAAAAAACATGCACGAATGGACCGAAGTCCTGCGTTTTGGCTTGCATTGCGGAGGACGAGGACCCAGCCATATGCAGTCGTCGTGGGTACAGCGGTTGTGAGGACGCCCTCGGTGGAGCTCCCTGTGGGGCCACGAAGCGTCTGGTGGGGTGTACCAAAATCGGTGCGGCGCCGCCATGCGGACTGTGCCACCATGACCTTCGGTGGACCTCTCTATGGGGCCACCGAGTGCTTTTGTTCAGTGCTCAGCTGTCTGTGACGCGTCTCGAGCCACAGCGGCGTCGAACAAAAAAGCGTCTCGATTGGAGCTGCTCTCTCCGGTCCAAGACCGTGCAGCGTGCCTGCGGGGCCTCTGAACAGCTGCTCTAGAGGGCCCATGGGGCCACCAAGTGTGTGAGGGGTCTCCCTCCTCCCTCCTCCCTCCTCCCTCCTCCCTCCTCCCTCCTCCCTCCTCCCTCCTCCCTCCCTCCTCCCTCCTCCCTCCTCCCTCCTCCCTCCTCCCTCCTCCCTCTTCCCTCCTCCCTCCGCCCTCTCCTCCCTCCCTTCCGCCCATGCGGCCACCAAGTGTGTGAGGGGTCTCCATGTTTTGCATTCGGCCGTGGGCAAACCTCCCTTTAGCAAACCTCCCCTTAGTGAAAACGGCCTGGGACCGGAACCCACGGACCTGGGCCCGCAACAGTGACAGCCGCGACGCCCTCTCGCGAACCGAAAACGGCCAATTCCTCAATCGACGTGTCAAGGTAGGAGGTCTATCAACCTCCGATACATGCGGAGGGCATGAGGCAGGGATGGGAGGAGGGCAGCGGTAGGGAAGGGCAGTAGGTGAGGAACGCGGGGCGCCGTCTCTGCAAACACGAGGACTAAGTCGGGCCTGTCCTCCTACAGGTGGAGTTTGGACAACCACTAAAAAATAGTCAAAACATGCACCATAATGACCAAAAGATAATCCGACCATCGTCCCCAGACTATTTCTTGACTGTGTTTGAAGATTCCTCCCGTAGGGGGACAGGCCCGACTTGACTAGGGAAACGAACAATGACATAAACATAAAAACTTCGTCCTGCTCGTCCTCCTCCTCCTCCTCCTCCTTCTCCTCCTCCGTTTCCTCCTCCTCCTCCTCCTCCTCCTCCTCCTCCTCCTCCTCCTCCTCCCCCTCCTCCTCTTCCTCCTCCTCCTCCTCCTCCTCCTCCTCCTCCTTTGCCTCCTCCTCCTTTTCCTCCTCCTCCTCCTCCTCCTCCTCCTTCTCCTCCTCCCCCTCCTCTCCTCATCATCAATTTCCTCCTCATCCTCCTCCTACTTCCTCCTCGTTTGTTTCCTCCTCCTCCTCCTCCTCTTCCTCCTCCTCCTCCTCCTCCTCCTCCTCCTCCCTGGCCGTGACGTCCTTGCCGCCGCCCAGAAAATAGGAGATCGGCAGTTGCATAAGTCCAGATCGTGACATCGCCAGGTCGAAGGTAGACGTCCCTGGCTGCGGGGTGAAGCGGATCCTCCCTGGCCGCATGGGCACAGCTTGCGGTTCATCATGTCGAGCACCGTCCTGTTGTTCTCGAGGCTGCGTTGCCCATGAGAGCCGGAATGTCGGAGTTGGGGGCCACTGGCGCCTGGTGCTCGATCTAATGCGACTTGCCTTGCACATCCTTCGCGAGCGGATTTCTCGGATCCGCGCCGGACCCCCCTGGCGGCGCCTCCAGCGCCGCCCCTGGCGCGCTCCCCGCGCCATGGAGGGGGTCCAGCGCCGATCCGAGAAGTCCGCGCGGACCTCCGAGTTTTCATGTTTCTGCCACGTCTTGTTCCCCTGACTGTGTTTGAATATTCCTCCCGTCTAGGGACAGGCCCGACTTGGCACGAGGGCCCAACACCACATGGCTGGGAAGCGGCGGCGGTGGCTGGAGGCCGCGCCCCCCCCCCCGTCCCGGCACCCGCCCACAGTCGCGGCGGCGGAGCCGCGCGGCAGCGCAACCTGATGGCCCGAGCCAGCCTGAGGTGTCAGGCCGCCGTCGAATGACACGCCTCGGCTGCAAGCCGTCAGATTGACTACCTACCAAACCACCCAACCCAACCCGAGGACCCGAATTTGACCCAAATGTCGGGTTGGGGGGGGGGTACGGGTTTCATGTGGTTTTTCAGTGCTCCTCGCCCACCCCCCACTGGAAATGGAGGGCAAATTGAGGCCTTCGGGTTGGGTTGGGGTGGTTTGGTGGGTGGTGACAGATGGGTAACTCCTGGAAAATTCTTGTCAGCGGTAAGCGACAGCGTCCTCCTGCCAGCAGCCGCCCTGCGTCTCAAAACTGGCAAGACCCGCCTGGGAACCACCCACCATTGTGTCCCCGTGCTGTCTAGCCGTCTCCTCGCCAGCAGCTGGCATCGCAACCGTGCAACAAAAATATCGCCTAGCCTTAAAACCAAACGGTATCAAAAAGCACACACACACAAAGCTCAAGGGTGGCGGCGTGACATCCCTGATGTCCAAGACGCGCTTGTTCTGTAAGCCCGCACTTCTTCGTAACCTCCAACAGCCACCCCACGGATTCCCAAGCAAAACGTCGCACGGTGGCAAGGATTTAATTGTCTCGCCTGTGCGGAGCCCCTTATTAAGAAATGTTGCGCCAAGCACGCTCGAGCATCGATAGACCTGCGAGGAACTGCGATGCAGTCCTGTCATCAATATCACGATGCACCGAAAGAGAAAAGGCGAGAGGGGAGAGACAATGGTGCGGCAGGCTCCACAGTACCCTCTGGAGCAGTGAGGTTCTTCGCAATGATGATCGGCACGATGCCAGATGCAAGCGCAACCTGTCTCCATCCCAGGAGGTGCAAATCGAGAATTGTTTGCAATTGCGGCTACCAATCAAGTATGGACGAGCTTCTGCAGCTGCGGGGATACTACAAAAAACCAAATCGATCGCATATTGGAACGAGTACGAATACAAACACTCGCGCGTCAAGCGAACGATCGGATTGGAATACGTGCCGTCTCCAGGATGCTATTCGCACTTATCCATCTAAGGAGTACGCGAGCGTTATGACCGCTGGGCTTCTGGATGTTGTATTGTCGACCAGACTACTTCTCAATGGCCGACTCGCATCTGGTCCGGAGTTCCTCTCGCGACGTATCGTCCGCCGAAGACGGAGATGATCGGAACAATCGGAGAAAGCGCCCGAAATATACAGACATTCTCTCACGCTGATGCGCAAGTCGCAAACTATCCACACACACCTCTCAAGCTAGCTAGCAATCAACCGCGTGCCAGCCCACATGTCCACCCAACCACATACCCACATGCCCACACGCACAGATGTTCACGCATGCACCTACCCGCCAACCGGACCACACACTTACGCACGCACGAACATGCATTCGCAACTGCCTGCCAGCCTGCAGGCGAGTGTGCAAGTGTGTGTGTGTGTGTGAGTGTGTGTGTGTGTGCATGTCCCGTCCCGTTCAAGTCAAAAAGCGTACATAGCTCTTCCACAGCTAGAATACACATCTCCAATGTGTTTGCCTACTCATGCATCCACCCACCCACCCACCCACCCACCCCGCCCACCCCCCTCCACACACACATACACACAAACACACATGAACACGTCTGCCAGCGCTAACTCGCTCATGTCTGAATGCTTATCCATACTGGTAACACTATCCATGCCACACTTGGGAACGCATGCGCGAAAGGAGCACCACACGCATGAGGCAAGATGTGCAACACATGTGTACAATTTCCACGACTTTCCATGATGCCGCGCAACTCTCGATAAGGCATATGCCGATTAGCGGTTGCCCTTCGAGGCACGAGCATTTGAAAGACAACCAGGTTCTCCACACACAGACTCACACACTCTTTCTCTCACACTCACCGCACATACGGGAGGTAGGGCCCGTGCTCCAGAACTCCAGTCCACACAGCCGCACACCGAAGAACAAGGTGCGCAGGAGGCTACAGGTCACGAAGCATCACATGGACCGTGGCCTACGCACCCAGCAGGAGGCTGCCAGCGGACGATGCACAGAGAAGCTTGAGCCCGACACGTGCCAATAGTAGGCGTTAACATCTGACAACGGGGATGGGAGATCGTAAACTCCAGAGAGGTCTGGCTTCAAGCGTACCGCACATGCGACACCTTCATGCTCAGGATATGCAACGCCGCGTGAGTCAAAGCAGCAGCCGCCAGAAGTTGAATAACCCCGACGTAACAGGCTCAACACGCCAGATAAATCCCCATAAGGCGCCCGACGCCAACTCTAGTTGTCCAAAAGTCAAGGCCACGGTCTGGCCCATTGAGAAAAAGTCCGTCCTCATGTGCGTCCGATGTCGGGGTCGGCCAAGAGGGGGGCGGCCAAGAGGGGGGGTCGCAAATCATGGCCAGCGGCGTGTGCGCGGAGTCAGGGAGGGTAGGCGGGACGTGATGAAATAAGAAGAGGCGCCACGAAATCTGAGGAAACATCATGGCCTACGCCATGATATCCCCCCCCCCCTAGTCATCGCCCCCCTCTTGGCCGCACCCGACGACGGTGCTGAAACATCGGGCCACCGGTGCCCCCCGCAGCTCCCCACCGAACCGCCAGGCCAGCAGGAGGCCACCCAGGACAGCAGACGCGCAGGACTCGGGCGAGGCGAGGAAGGGCGCAGCAGGCGGGGGAGCGATGGGGACGGGGGCGGGGACGCGACGGCAGCGCGCACCAGGAGCGAAGACCGCGTGGGCCCCGACCGCCACCTCTGGGGGTTAGGAGGCAACTACTGGGAGGTTTTCGTCGGAAAGAATAAGGAGGATTAAGCCCCATTTGGGATCTGTTACGCCAGAGTGGGCCTCGGACTAAGCAGGATTTAGCCGGATTGAGCGGGATTAAACTGGATTCAGCCGATTAAGCGGGATTAAGCCGGATTGAGCCGGATTGAGCCGGATTTCGGACCAGGGCAAACTCAGAATTTGACCTCCCAGGAACTGCATCCGAATGGGGGGACCCAAAAGGCTTTGCACCGATGCCGCTACTCCCGAGGCCTCTCCCAGGTGCTGCCTGACAAGAGTCTCGGGGCGAGTCCAGCAGTGGCGGACGAGGGCCTCCCAGGAGGCCCACAGAGGCAAACACGAGGCAAGGATAGTGGTAATTATGGGTACCTGCTCCTCCTCTGCATCTCGCGAGACCCCCATTGTCGCTGATGACGACGTCCACGCCGCCGAGGCCGCCGACGCCGCCGCCGACGCTGACGTTGACGCTGACGCTGACGCTGACGACGACGACGACGACGACGACACGACGAAGACGAAGACGACGACAATCGCCTCCTCCTCCTCCCCCCTCCCCCCTCCCCCAGCCCTCCCGTCCCCCTCCCCCCCCCCACCTCCCGCCTCCCCCCTGCCCCCTGCCTACGCACCTTTTTGTCGCTGAAGACCATCGTCCCGTCGCAGCTGAAGATCCCGACGCCCATGTCACTCTGCGCCACGAGGAGTCCCTCCTCGTCACTGGCACTCCTTGGTGGGCGGGTAACAGGGGATCTGTCGACACTTGTGCCAGGCTTCGTGGGGTCTTCGAATGGACCAGAAATTTGGGGCCCACCCCTGGGATATACGATAGGGGGTCGGCGGTGGACAACCCTCGCTTCAGTAAATCACCCTTTAGCGGAAAGCGGCCTAGGACCGAAACCGACGGACCTGGACCCGCAACAGTGACGGCCGCGACGCCCTCTCGCGAACCCGAAAACGGCCAATTCGTTAATCGACGTGGAAGGGTAGGAGTTATGTTGTTCCCATCCTAATTAAGGACCGCATCCCAGAAATGATTTCGAGCACCCGGAAAAGTATCAAAAGGATGTCGAAGTAGTGTCGAAACAATGTCGGGCGAGCGTCTCCCAGGGCCCGACACGTGAACACCCTCGAGTTTCGGCACCTTTTTTGGCGCTCGAAATTCTTTCTGGTGGTCAGGGCTAGGAGTAGGTTGGAACATCATGAGGTAGGAGGTCTCTCAACCTCCGAGGGGGGGCGCCCCTCCTCGAGAGGGGCTGCGTCCGAATAGCCCCCCCACTCGGGCGCCAAGCGGGCCGCCAGGACGGAGCAGAGCTGCCAGGGAGGCTCCAAGAGCGCCACAGGGCAGCCAGAGGGGGCCCCAGGACGGTGCCCCGAGACGGTCCAAGATTGCTTCAAAAGGGCCCTCGAGGCCGCCAGGACGGCCCAACATGGCCTCCAGACGGCCCCCAAAAGCTCCCAAGAGGCCCCCGAGAGGCCTCCCAGAGGCCCCCGGGAAGCCCACATCCTCCCCAAACCGACGGTACCTCGCCTCTTCCGATGTGCCGCTGAGGCCTCAGGACGGTCCAAAAATGGCTCCACGGGAACCCGAAAGCAGGAAGGACGCAGGAGATTGGATAGAAGAGCGAGACGGGAGGTACAGCGGGTGGAAGAGAGGAGCCGAAAGGAGGATGAAATAGAGAGAAGAAACGAAACGGAACAGAGATTGGGGAGGGCGAGTAACGGGAGGAGAGCAACGGGAGGAATGCAAATAACCCCTCAAACGGTTCGAAACATTTGCATGACAAACATGGGCGCACTGTGCCGAGACGTTGACCTGTGTCGCGCTAGAACCTACAACCATGCATGGTCCTAGCGCAGGCAGTGGGGCAATCTCTAAAACAAGATCGGCCGCTGAATCGAGACACCGAAATAACCAGAAGCATCATCCGTGTCATGATCGTGATCGTCACCAGAATCGTTACCACGGTCATGTTCATCATCATCATCATCATCATCATCATCATCATCATCATCATCACCACCACCACCATCAGCATCAGCATCATCAGCATCATCATCCACAGCATCATCATCATCATCAGCATCATTACCAGCATCGTCATCATCATCAACATCATCGTCATCATCATCAGCAGCAGCATCGTCATCATCATCACCATCCGCATCCTCATCCCCATCACAATAGTATGGTCGTCATCGTCATCATCATCAACAATGTCGGCGTCACCAGCGCCGACATCACCACTGTCATCAACACCGTTGACATCTTCATTATCGTCATCAGCATCAGCATCATTATCATGACCATGGTTGTCGTCATAATCACTGTCGTCGCCAGCATGTTCCTGGAGCTGACTACCTACCAGACCACCCCAACCCAACCCGAAGACCCGAATTTGACCCGAATTTCGGGTTGGGGGGGGGTACGGATTCCATGTGTTTTCTCAACGTTCCGCGACCCCCCCCCACTGGAAATCGAGGATAAACTGAGGCCTTCGGGTTGGGTTGGGGTGGTTTGGTGGGCGGTGAGGAGCGGCCTCCAGTAACAACTGTGTGACTGCTCTCCACGGGGAGGGGACGTGGACGACCGCGTGCTTCATCGTGAGTATCATACTGCCCTGTATCATCAACGACATCACCATATTCCACAATCGCTTTCTCGTCACCACAGTTAACGACATCGCCATCCGCACCATCTTGCTCATTCGCATCTTCGGCATCAGCACGGTAATCATCATGATCAGCATGCAGATCACCATCGTCACCATTGCAAAACAAAAAACATCACGATCGTCACGCACATTGTCATTGTCATCGTCCTACCCATCAACACCATCATCATCGTTATCATAATCGTCATCGTCATTGGCATAACCACCACCAGCATCGCCATCGTCGTCATCATCAGTATCAGCATCATCGTCATCAGCAGCATCAGCATCACCATTATCATCATGATAATCAGCATCATTACCATCGCCATCGTAAGCATCATCATCGTCATCATCATCGTCATCATCATAAACACCATCATCATAATCATCATTAGCATCGTCGTCATCATCATCATCGTCATCATCATCATCCTCATCATCCTCATCATCATCACCACCCCGAACACCATCACCATCACATCCATCAGTAGCATCACCATCAGCAACAACACCATCTTCATCATCATCACACTAATCATAATCACAGCCATCAACATCAGCATCGTCATTATCGTCATAGTCGGCCAGATGGTCCTGGAGAGGCCTCCGGGGAGATCCTTCCGACCACACGCCGTGCGGAACCCCTTCGAGGCGTTTGTGGAAGACAGGGGGAGGGCCCCTGGAATCTGTCTGAGGGTTCTCTCGGCCATCTAGGCCCGACACATGTCTAAAACCACGCACTGATACGTGCCTACATACGTGCATGAGCAGCACCCGTGTATGTACACACATATATATATATATATATACGAGTACGAGTACTAGTACTATGCGCTGCTGTTGGAGGCGTGCGTCCGACCAGATCATACAGCACAGCCGTATGTCAGCATACATGAAGGGGCCCTGGGACACAAATAAATATACCAAATAAACACATTTCCAATCTTTTCCCATAGTTTCGAGGTTTCTGCCTTCCCCCCCACTTCCCATAGTTTCCCAGATGTTCTGGGGAATCGAAGATCCATTGTGTCTGTGTTTTTGTTTCCACCCTCCTGTTTGTGTTTTTGGCCGCCGATGCGAGAGCACGGGAGCTCTTGCCTGGCCGAGCCGTGGCTGCGCCTCTGCTCTGGCCCCTGCGCTCGAAGCCCCAAGGGCGCGCCTGCACGAGCGGGGGGGGTGGCCAGCCCCTAGGCTGCCACGGCACGAACACGACGGCTGGTGACACTGGCACGAATCGCCCAAACGTGACTTTTGAAAAAAACACAAGCACACACAAGCATGCAACACCAACAAAAACTGTGCGGGCAAGTTCTGCGCCACGCTCGTGCAGAGTTCGTGCTTGTCACACACGTGCAGACCCTCACTCGCAATCTCCGCCCTCCCTCTCCTAAAACAGCTCGAAAGAAAACCAACGGAGGGGGTTCAAGGCAATGAGAGGCCTGGCTCGATTGCAAACCAAGTTATCTAAATGCTCCCCATGGGAAGGCGACGAGTGGAACGAAATCGTAGGTGGGGTAGTCACAGACAGCGACGGCACGCATCTCAACGTGCCTTCGCGCGAGCACTCGATTGCGGGCCTGGAGAAACGGCAGCCCCCCACTGATTCCGTACTTGCCGCCAGCTCGCATGGAGTTATATATGCCGAGTCTATTGAATCCTTATTTCCCCAACCAGTGCTTGCACTGCAGGGGTCCTAGCGGAAATTGATCGATTTGGCGACAATTTCCCGCCGATTTTGGTGGCCGGCTGGGTTCCTGGGTTCCCGGGTTCCTGGTCATTGGTTCCGGGCCGATTTCGGTGGGTTTCGGGTTCCCGGGTTCCCGGGTTCCCGGTCGATCTCCTTATCGATCTCTTTATCGATTCCATGTCAAGCCATCCACTGGTTGGGTTTTTTTTCTGGTTTCATGTACGTCGAATCTATTAAATCATGTGTTAACCAACGGACATTCGGGCAGTCTCGGAAATTTCACGCACGATCATTCGCTGCAGAGGTGACAAGACGAGGGAGCACGAGCGGCAAAAGAGAAGAGGCGAGCAGGATGAGAGGCAACAGCGGGCCTGAGCCAGGCTCCTCCTCCTCCTCCTCCTCTTCCTCCTCCTTTTTGTTTCTCTTCCTCCTTCATCATCGTCAGTATCGTTTCTCTTCGTTCCTCTTCCTGCTCCTCCTCCTCCTCCTCTTCCTCCTTTTCCTTTTCCTCTTCCTTCATCCTCGTCATTCTCGTTTCTCCTCGTTCTTCTTCCTCCTCCTCCTCCTCCTCCCCCGTCCTCCTCTTCCTCCTCCGGAGCTGCAATTAATGCTGGAAGGGCGAACGTGCTCAAGAAACAAAACCAACTGTTTGGCAAATTGAGCTGGGAAACCCTGGCCCAACTTTCCGGGAGGAAGTGTCTCAAGCCGATGCTCGGCCGTAAATCCTCAGGCATGCTGTGGTCTGATCGCAACAGCAACCTACATCGTCAGCAAATCCTCCGAGCCGCAAGCGTCACGCGTAAACTCGCATGCGGCCCGGGAGGCGCGCGGAGCTCGGCCGACGCGCTGATCAGAACACCGTCTCGTAAGACGAGGCCACGACGGAGACAACATCGGCCCAGGACCACTCGGGGACCTCCGAGATCTGGCGGTTCGGCATGGCCCACTGGGCGCAACGGCCGTCCCAGGGCGCCCCGCAGTGCTATGGGAGCGGTTCCGGAGCGCTCTAGACGAGTTGTCCGGGTCCTGGGCCTGCCCGAATCTGAGAGGGGGAGAGGGAGGGACAAGGAACGCGCGAAACTGGTAACCGCGACGAGTCTTTAAACAAAAAGCCCCGCAGCAATGGAAAATCATCTCTCTCTCTCCCTCCCTCTCTCTCTATATATATATATGTCATGGCGACCTCATTGACGAACTGGGGCCCCGACAGCAACGGAAACTGAGTATTTTTCCCCGCAGCCGCCGCTGACGACGACACCGACGACGACGACGAGGAGGAGGAGGAGGAGGTAGAGGAGGAGAAGGAAGAGGAGCTGGAGGAGGAGGTGGAGGAGGAGATGGAGGAGGAGGAGGTGGAGGAGGAGGTGGAGGAGGAGGGAGGAGGAGGAGGTGGAGGAGGAGGTGGAGGAGGAGGAGGAGGTGGAGGAGAAGGAGAAGGAGGAGGGAGGAGGTGGAGGAGGAGGAGGAGGAAGAGGAGGGAGGAGGGGGGACGAGGGACGGTCGGAGGGGGGTCTCTCGGGATCTTTGCGTCCTCCTCAGGCCTTCTCCCCTGAGGGCTCTCTCTCTCACAAGAGCGCTGCTCTGAAAACTGTCACCCGATGCTCTGGAACTCTCAGAGGCTCGTTGTTCTGAAACTCTCGATGCTCTGAAACTCTCACTGCTCTGAAATCCATTGCTCTGAGACTCATTACTCTGAAATTCATTAGTCTGGAGCTCGTTGCTCTGAAACTCATTGCTCTGAAACTCATTGCTCTGAAACTCATTGCTCGAGGACTTGTTGCTCTGACACTCGCGAAAGACATGCCAAGGAGCTCTGTTCCTCGTCTTTCTCAGGGCCCCTCCCCTGAAGGCTTTTTTCTCAAAGGATCATGGCTTAAAAAACTCTCGCTCGATGTTCTGAGGGGCTCATTGCTCATTGGCCCACGAAGGTTTCACGGGATGCACGCCAAGGAGCTCAAGCCCTCAGCCTTCCTCGCGCGCTCTACCTGCGCGGCGAGGGCCAAAAATCATCCTCGCGGGCCTCAGCGGGCTCTCACGAGGGCCCAGAGAGAAAGGGAGAAAGCATGAAGCCAGATGCGAGTCCCAGCTGGCCTCAGCGGGCCTCCCCCGCGAGGAGCCCCCGCCGGCTTCGACGTTGCCGCGCCTCTGGCGCTGCCTCTTCCGGCAGAATCGCGACAGTGGGGGCGTCAGAAATCAGCACTGGCACTATTGCTGGGACGGTGCGCGATGGTTGCCACCGACCATCTCTTGTCAGTGCAAAATGCCTGCGGTCACTCGAAGGCCTGCGCTGCCATCTGGTGCATGGCATCGAGCTGCGTGACATTCCAGAACGATGCATCGGTTCCGCTCACACCCGAGAACCAGGTCGGCAAAACGAGGTCCGTAGGCGTGAATACGTACTCGCCGGGAGGGGCGTTTTTCCCGAACGCCGGCTGGTAGACCTCGCTATCCGTAAAGGCCGGCAGCTTCAGCCAGGAGTACAAGGGCACATTCGACGTCATCTCGTTCCAAACTTCAAAGAGTTGCGACGTAAGCTCTCGAGATCCGACAGCGCTTGCGAGGCCGAGCTGGACCAGCAAGCAATTGAAGATGCGCGTGACCATCTTGTCTCCGTCACTGGCAACGCTCCCTCCCGCAAATGCGGTCGGGGACAAGGTCTTCTTGTTCTCCTCGGCCGATCCGCCGATGCCGCCCCAAGTTGCGAAGCGCACCGACCGGTTGCTCCATGCCCTGGCGGTAGCCCAAATCGTATGCGCAGCCAAGTAACAGCTGCTGCCGCAACCGCCATCAGATACGAGGATGATGTCTTCGAAAGGGTGCGCAAGGCCGCTCGGCGCGTTAGTTGGGCATTAGTAAGTCCGGGCGGTGAAGTTCCTGGTGTACTTGCCACGCTGCTCAAGTTGAGGATGCTCGTACGCAGTCTCATATTGACTATCGTCAAAAAATGGATTGGCGCACTGTCCATTCTTGTACATGCTTACGAGCGACTCGAAGCCCGTCCACGCCGCTTCCCAAGTCACGTGGCCAGGCGCCAGCTCGGCCAAGATGGAGGTGATGTTCGCAAGAGGCTGCCCGAAGCTCTCCATGGCTCTCAGAAGTGCCCGTATGTTGTTGAGAACGGCCTCCGCATCATCGGGGTCCGCCTCCAGCGCAGCCCGCCTATCTGCCTGGAAACCAGAGCCGAGCTCGGACGAGAGGAACTGCTCGACTGGAAGCTTGTTGATCTTGCTCCAGAGGTTGTACGCCCTCGGTATCGGGCGCTGAACAGATCCGCACGTCTGCCTGTAAGTCAGCTCCGGCATCATCATCTGCACAAAATCATACGCAAGTGTCACCTTGCCCCCACCGTTTCCCACGACGTCCACCAGCAGCCGTGTGACACCACGGATCTGCGCCTCCGTCACAAACTTCCCCCACTCCTTGGCCATCACTTCAGCTAATTCAAAGGTGATGTCACGTTCACCGAGCTCGAGCAGGAACGTCGTGATCTTCAACAGGCCGAACTCCGTCCCGTCCGAGCGGTTCCTGAATGCCAGGTACCCTAGCGTGGCGCTCGGATCACCGATCCACGCGAACACATCGTCTGGGAGCGAGGCGCCCTCTGGAGCTGCGTTCGGCAGCGACGGCGCGGCCCTGCGAGGCGCAGTCTCGGCGAAGAGCATAGACAGCGCCTCGCTGCTCCAGCTTTCGTTCAGACTGTTGGTCGTGAGCTCTACGAGCTGCCCGTACCCAAAAGATCTGTTCAACAACTTGGGCGCTTTGTCGACCAGGCACGCGAAATTCATGCAGCCGAATTGCAGCAGGCTGTCATAGTTGAGGGCAACTCTCCAAACCCATGACGCGTTGTCCCCTCCCTCGAACTCCACGCTGACCCTACCCGAATTCAAGCCGCCAAGCGGGCCCAAGCCCCCCAATCCGTAAGAGATACCGCCTCCCTTGGCGTGAACGTCGTCCACAACTTGGTTCATGCGCCCCCCAAGGCTCTTGATACAATACATATTGTCAGCAAACGTTGAAGACAGGGCAAGATTCTCTGTCAGCCACCGAAAGGGAGACTGCTGGTCGATGCTCTTGATGACGCTACCATGTTTACGCTCCATCATAATCGGCTTGAGCTCGCCATTGATGTTCGCCTTCTCTTGATCGGCAGAGATCTGAATGCTGACTCCTTCGTCACGCATGTCCGTGAGCATCAGATTGAAAACATTCAAGAGGTCGACTGGCAGAATCCGGTCCTCTCCCCAGATGTTAGGGTGGCAGTCGCGCAGTTTGTGAAATGCTGCGTTGGCAGGCGCGACCCAGTTCTTGATCGGGTAGGTGCCCTCGGCTGGGATACCGTCGGCGATCTTCTGCCAATCGCCCACGAGGTCCACCCTGCTGAGATCGGCAGGCGCCCCGCCATTCGCTCCCCCGAAGATGCCGAGGTCTGCGAACGCGGGGTCAAAGGTGTAGTTGCCTGCCGTGGGGTCTGAGGCGATCAAGGCGAACGTGTAGAAGCTCTTGTAGTATCGAGCCAGGGCCTGCATGTGCTGCTTGGCCCGCAGTGCGGGCCCCCGGACCAGGTCGAGGCACGCCTGCGCCGCGGGCAGGCTCAAGGAGCCGCCTGCGCCGTCGGGGCGCGTCAGCAGCTCGCACTCTGGGGCCGGAGCAGGGGCCTGCCGGTGCAGCTGCCGCACCCGCACCTGCGCGAGGCCGGCCGCGTCGTCTTCGGTGGAGCTGGGACAAGACTCCCCCGCGCCGCGGCTCGCCAGGGCGCTGCCCACCAGCGTCGCGAGCAGAGCCGCGCGAGCTGCGGGTGCGGCTCTGACCCGGGGCATGTTGAGCGCACGCGGGCGTGTCGGGCTGACCAAAAGCGGCTTGAACCCAAATGGCTACGAGGATACATGTTGTCTGTCTTGAGCGAGCTCATTGTCACGCCGTCGCATATATGCACTTGGCTGAGGAGCACCCTGGCAGGAGCACGAAACGCCTCTTGCACAAACTGTTTTAACGGCCGTCATCGGGTTTGTGAAGGGGGCACATGACGTTACGTTTCGCGCCAGTCTGGGAATGCCTAGACATGACGGGGGACGCGTAGGTGGCGATCTGCGCTACAGCGCCCGTGTACACCACAGTGCCCGCGTGCACCACATCGCCTGTGCACACCACACCTCCTGCGTACACCACAGCAGCCGCGCGCACCACATCGCCAGTGTGCACCACATTGCTTGCGTGCACCACAACGCTTGTGTACACCACACCGCCTGCGTACACCACATCTGCCATGTGCAACACAGCACCGGTCTAAACCAAGCCCCTGCGTGCAATACAGCTCCTGTATACACCATGGCGCCTCTGTGCACCATGGCGCCTCTGAGTATTATACGGACTTTGTTTTCCATCTGACGCTACGTATAAACAGTACTAACAACCATATGCATGTGCATGCATGCATATAGACAATTACATACATTTATACACCTACGATCCAGGGTCTGCCCCCCCTCATGCTGATGACTTGAGTTCGGCCCCCCCTCCCGCGCGACGGGTCCCTGCCCACCCTGCGGGCGAGGCGTGGTGAGCCCACCCCCCATCGATAAAGTCGAATGAGGTCGTTCCCCGTCGTCTTCGTTGTCGTCGTCGCGCCCCCCATCCCATCTGGGGGAGGAGGGGATCGCCGAGGGATCGTGGGACCCATCCCATCTGGAGGGGGGGGGGGCCTGGGCCCCGATCCTGGGGCTCATAGATTCCAGCCTCGCGTTTTTCAGCAACTGCTTCCTCGAGCGAAGAAAGAAGTTGTCAGCTCTTTTTTTACCTAACAGCGAAGACTCATAGGTTTCTAATGGTGTCAAAAGAAAGCATCTGATGACTCAGAAGGGAAGTCTGGGCGGCATCCGGACAGCGAGGGCCGGGCTCAGGGCCGGGCTCGCTTTAAGCAAACAGCCACACACTTCGTGCTCTTCGACCTCCCAACACTCCATTCCCGGGCCACATTTTGAATGCCCGAAGCCAACTGTAGGCCACTTCGTGCTCTACGACTTCCCAAAACTCCATTCCCGGGCGACATTTTGGATGCTCGGAGCCAACTGTAGGCCACTTCGTGCTCTTCGACGTCCCAGAATTCCATTCCCGGGCCACATTTTGGATTCTCGGAGCCAACTGTAGGCCACTTCGTGCTTTTCGACTTCCCAGATCTCCGCTCCCGGGCGAAATTTTGGATGCCCGGAGCCAACTGTAGGCCACTTCGTGCTCTTCGACTTCCCAGAACTCCATTCCCGGGCCACATTTTTGATGCTCGGAGCCAACTGTAAGCCACTTCGTGCTCTTCGACTTCCCAAAACTTTACTCCCGGGCTACATTTTGAATGCCCGGAGCCAACTGTAGGCCACTTCGTGTTCTTCGGGCCACATTTTGTTTATTGGATGTCCCCGTCATATTTCTCGCCACCCGATTGCCGGTTTGTTCTGTTTGTCATCGTGCAGGGCAAGACGGCGGACCCAGGCGCCATCGTGCACTGGACGTTTTCGCCAGAATCTAATACTTCTAGTAGCAGTAGTAGGAGGAACAGAAGGAGCAGGAGGAGCAGGAGGAGCAGGACGAGGGAGGCTCCTTACTCTTTCCTCCCTCCCCTGTCCCCCTTCATTTCTGTACTGGGTACCCGACCCTTTACGACGTCCTCCGCAGGCCTGGGTGGTCCACTCAGGCCGCGGGGGAGGGAGGATAGGGGGAGGTGGGGTCTTCTTCTTCCCCTAAACAGCTTGATCCTCGTCGCCAGTACTTAGGAGGGGGGGGGGGGGCACCTTTCCCTCGGCTGGGCACACCCCCCCTCCGGGAGCTCTCGATCCCATCTCTCTCGCTCTCTCTCCTTCTTTCTTTCCCTCATCGAAGCAGCACTCTCAAGATCGTCATCATCAAGCGTCTGTGGTCTCACATCGTCACAGACTCATCATCTTCATCAACCTCCCCGTAGCCTTCTTGGCTACAGCCCTGCTTTCGAAGATTCCCGTTCAAAGGAACTGCGCAACGCCTACTGCGCACCTTAATGCCAGGACATGCTGGTAGTTCTCGGTCTGGCGGCGGTGCTCCTGAGCCTCCTGCATTGAACAGCGGTGCTCCTCAGACTCCGGCAGTGCACAGCGCTGCTCCTCAGCGTGCTGCATTGAGCGGTCCTCTGCAAACGCTCGTCGAGCACGTGAAGCAGTTCGGCCGGATACCGAAGCGAAATAAACGAACGCCCGGACAAGAACGGGCCGAACAAAAAAATGGCCAAACGTTTCTCGGACCATCGCGACCGCATCCCCGAATACATTTTGCATGAACAACTGCGGGCCCTGGGCTGTGCTGATCAGCAGACGGAGACCGAGGAGCTCAAGCGGAAGCAGAAGACCGACGAGCTCATGCACCAGAATTCTACAACAGCGCTCTTACATGAATACCACACGCAATGTTTCCAGCTATGCTTCTACACATCGTTGTTAGGTTGCATTGCCGGGATAATCCCAACCATCTTGTGGTGTTGGGTCCTCGTTTTGAGGAAACGTCGCCCCGCGTTCCTCCTCCTCCTCTTCTCTCCTCCTCCCTCCTCCCCCTTTTCCTCCTCCCTCCTCCCTGCGTTTCACCCACCCAGTACAGTTTCGTGGCCCCATAGGGAGTTCCACCGAATTCCCCAGTGGCAGCGTTCGCATGGCGGCCCCGCCCCATTTTGGCGCACCCCTCAATCGCCTCGTGGCCCCATAAGGAGCTCCACCGAAGGCCCCAGTGGCAGCGTTCGCATGGCGGCCCCGCCCCATTTTGGTGCACCCCTCACGCGGTCCGTGGCCCCATAGGGAGCTCCACCGAAGGCCCCAGCGGCAGCGTCTGCATGGCGGCCCCGCCCTATTTTGGCGCACCCCTCACACGGCTCGTGGCCAACTAAGGAACTCCACCGAAGGCCCCAGCGGCAGCGTTCGCATGGCGGCCCCGCCCTATTTTGGCGCACCCCTCACACGGTTCGTGGCCCAGTAGGGAGTTCCACCGAAGGCCCTAGTGGCAGCGTTCGCATGGCGGCCCCGCCCCATTTGGGCGCACCCCTCGCACGGTTCGTGGCCCCATAGGGAGCTCCACCGAAGGCCCCAGTGGCAGCGTTCGCATGGCGGCCCCGCCCCATTTTGGCGCACCCCCCGCACGATTCGTGGCCCCATAAGGGGGCTCCACCGAAGGCCCCAGTGGCAGGGTTCGCACGGCGGCGTCGGGCCATTTCGGCAAACCCCTCACGAGGATCGTGGCCCCATAGGGAACTCCACCGAAGGCGCCAGTGGCAGGGTTCGCATGGCGCCCCCGGGCCACTGCGGCACATCCCTCACGAGGACCGTGGCCCCATAGTTGTGTTGCTTCAACAACCGCGCCTGGGCGTCGTACTCCGCCTTGTCGACGTGCAACGCCACCTCCTCCCTCATGGCTCTCAAGGCCCTCTCCTGCTTTTGCTCCTCGGAGAGAGAGACGCCGTCCTTGTCGTCGTCGGCGCCCGCGAAGACGGCCACGAACGTGTCCCTGAGCATATCGGGCTCCGGCGGGAAGCCGTGGCCACATACTGAGCGCGGGCGAGGATGGTATTCACAATTGCGGTACTCACATCTGCATATGGTTGGGTCCTTCGCCGGGCTATTTGTAAAAATAAGGGAACGGGAATACCTGGTCAGCCAAGTTGGCATGCAATGCGGCGGTGGACAACCCCCCCTGCAATGAACCACCCTTCAGAGAAAACGGCCTGTGACCGCAAACGACCGACCTGGACCCGCAGAAATGACGGCTGCAACGCCCACTCGCGAACCCGAAAACGGCCAATTCGCTACTCGACATGTCAGGGTAGGAGGTCTATCAACCTCCGAATCATAGCGTGGAAGAGACAGAACACGGCTCCACAGCCCTGCCGTCGCTTCCGCGTCCCATTCCTTCCACGCAATAACATGTGCGGGATGCCCCCCCCGCCCCTGCACGGTTTCCCCCGGGGCCGTGGGCGACCCGAGGAAGAGGAGGAGGAGGAGGTGGAGGAGGGGGAGGAGGAGATGGAGAAGGGGGAGGAGGAGTAGGAGTAGGAAGAGGAGGAGGAGGAGGAGGAGGAAAAGGAGGAGGAGAAGGAGGAGGAGGAGGGATCGCCAAAACCCTTCGGAAAAGCCCCCCCCTTGGTCATCATTTCCGAACCTCGGCCACGCCATTCGGACATGCATTGTGCAGGAAATTAGACGCTCGCGGAAACTCCGCATGAAGGCAGCAGGACTCCTCTCGCGAGACACCCTTTCAAGACCAGTGTCGTCCTTGGTCGCAGTTGGCACTACACCAGATGAGGTCAAACAACTTCACTTTGCGGTGTCACTGGCCACCGACATACCCGCCCTCGGATATGTTTGGTATGGCTTGGCACGGCTCCCATACGAGCGCGCAAATCAAAACCCATCTGCACCTGCGACCGTAGCCTGTGAGCACGGGCGGACGGACGGGGTGGATCTCCTGTACACGCCGTAGCACAGGACGCTGGGCAACGACGTGACGGCCTTCGAGCGCGCTCAACGGTGCGCAGAGTAGGGTGCGCGGGCATGGCGTGCGGGTGGCAAGAAAAAGAAACATGTATTAGAAACAGTCTGCTTGATTTTGGGCTCCGCCTGGGGTCATCCGAAAAAAAACCCGCAAGACGACGAGAGGAAAAAAGGAAACAGGCAGAACCGTGTGGCGAACCTCGCGCGGCGCACGCACGCGCGGCACTGCTCGCTGCCAGTAGTCCCAGGCATGAAAGACCACGCGTAAGGGGCAGAAAGACTGTGTGAGGGAGGAGACGATGATGATGACGACGATGATGATGACGATGATGATGAAGATGATGATAATGATGATGATGATGATGATGATGACGATGCTGATGCTGATGCTGATGCTGATGATGATGATGATGAGGATGGTGCTGCTGACGATGATGATGATGATGATGATGATGATGATGATGACTATGATAATGGGGGCCGGCCTTGGTGAGAAGATTGATCGCGTGGATCCCCCACACGTCGTCGGCCTGCTCCCCTCGAGAATTCAAGAGACAGTGCCGAAACATTTCCGCTACACATTCAAAAGACTGTTCGGGTAGCTGCGCGAGCATCTCCACCACCACCCCATCTTGTTTAGATCACTGCTTACCCATCTTCATTTTGAGTAACGCATCCTGAACCCACCCACGA